AGTGGTCCTAAATTTGGCATTGTTAAAGGCCCGGGGCAGGGTTCCTAGAACGGGGGCGCAGCAAGCCCTTTCCGTTTGTGTTACTGTAAAGGGTTCATTTTTGTTTGTTTTGTTTTTCCTTTGAGGGGGCCGGCATGTTGGATAGAGGGAAATGTACTGCCCCAGCATATTGCTCCTGAGCCCCCCCCCCCCCCCCCTACCCAATACCCACTATTTGTATGAACGGTTCGATGTGGTAACACATGCACACACAGTCGGCGCGGGGGAGCATGTCGGGTCGTGCTCCGTCGTGCTCCATCATGAGCCTGGTGGGGTCTTGCCTGGACTTGTTGGGAGAGGCTAAGGGGTACGGGGCTCCCGCTATCGCGTACAAGTGAGGGTTGTTGTTGTTGTTGTTGTTGTTGTTGATGGTGATGTTGTTTTTGTTGCTTTTGTCGTTGTTGTGGTGGTGGTTGTTGTACTTGTTGTTGTTCTTGTTCTTGTTGCTGTTTTGCATCAGATGTATCACTCTAGTGATGACCACCAAAAAGTTGTTGTTGATGATGTTGTTGTTGTTGTTGTTGTTGTTGCTGTTTTGTATCAGTTGTATCACTCAGTCGGTGCTTGTGGCGTCAGCTCTACTGATCACCACCAAAAAGTTGTTGTGGATATGAACAGACACGCTATTGTTGTCGTTTGTTTTCACTCAATCGGTGGTTTTATGGTACCCGATGAGGAGAACAGAGAGCCTCATTACACACGTCTTGGTTTGCATTTGCACCCCAGGTGTCACAACCGGTGGAACCAGTTCTTCAGCTTCGGGGAGGGTGAGCTGGAGGGACACTTGCTGTCAACTGTACCTCGACACCTCCACATGGCGGATGATCTCACTGGGGGCGCGCTTTGTCTCGAGGTGATGAGTTTGTTTTCTGTGCGGCGTTTGAAACACCAAAAGCAGGACGTCGTTCTCGGCACAAGAAAAAAGAACGATCCGCCCAACTCTGGCTCGGCTGCCAGTCACTCTCTCCTTGCTTTGCTCGCGTTTGTTGCGTTGTCTGAACGTCCGTATGTGTCTTGCAAACTCGAAGCAATGAATCCCTGTTATGTTGAGTTCATGTCTGTTGCTCAATATCTCGCCCCTCGCGTCGTTGGTATGTAACCGAAGCAGCAGTTCTTGCCTTGCGTTTTTGGCGATGGATGTTATGTACGTATCCCACAAGTAAGTGTAAGTTTCTTCGGAAAGGCTCACAAGTTGACTGCTGGTGTCGCTGTCCCCAGGTGATGCCGAGTAACTGCTGTTCGCCCAAAGTTTCTGAGTCTTGCCACTAATCATGCTGATTTGCAATATTGGCGCGTGATGCAGCGTTGTGTAGCTTTTTTCTCTGTTTCCAGTGTTGTGTTTTAATGGACCCTCAAGCGTGTATCCACGCGCCAGTATCGGCACCAGAGCGCTCACAAGTACAGACCCGGAACTGCGTCGTTTGAGCACACCACGTGTCTTGGACGCTACCTTTTTCATGAATGAGTAACAAGTTCATCGCGCTCTGCATGCCGTGTTCTGTCTTTTTTCTTTTTTGCTTTATGATCGATGGTAAAGTTCTGTTTCTTGGAGAGGACATCGCTAAACCTGCTTCTCCTCGTAGCCTCCCGGATCACTTTCTTAGCTTCTCCCCAGGCATTCCTTTGCGACGCGCGTAGTAATGTATTCGCTCGCGGGACTCCTTCCTCTTTTTATAGCCTAACACAAAACAAACAAAAACAACCTTGTTGTACCCCGTTTGCAGAGCGTGGACGAGGGTTCCAGAGGCATCGTCATCAAGACGGCCGAGTGCTCGCCGGACAGGTGCGCCGTGTCTGTAATTTTCACATCGTCACGCTTGGAATTCATCCACCAAATTTGCGTCCCTTTGACGTCGTTTGCCCGACGGCGGTACGATGATGAAAGAAGAAAATGTGTGGTAATGTGGTAATTATCGGAAACAAGGTGTGGTATGTAGTCGAGAATGAAGTGTGTATTATTCTTAGAAGATTTTTAGCTGCGGTTGTTGTTTGGTCATGGGGGTTGCCCTGTTGGTTTTGCTGTCGCGGCGAAGGAGAAGGGAGCGAAGGTGACTCCTCACCAGGATTGCTAGTACGATACCTTGTCCGTTCTTGGTATATCCCGTTCACACCTGTCTTATCCCGTACTGCTGTTGTCTGCCCTCTAAGGGATAAAGAAGAGTTCATATTGTCGTCACCGCTCTGTGGTGGAGTCCTACCTTCTGATTGAATTTCTGCTTCTTCTGCTGACGACCCCTCGCCTCCATTCCTCTTCCTTCTTTCCTCCGTATCGGAACCACGTCGTCTTTTTAACACATCTCACGCCTACTTCTGTGTCTCTCCCCCTCCTCCCTCTGTCTCTGCTCTTTTTTCGCCCCTGCATTGTGTCACTCCCCCCCCCCCCATTCTCCGTTTTGCCCCGTCGCCTCGTGTCCACGCTTTGTCTGTGGGCACGAAACAACAACGCAAACGGGGCTGGGCTGCGACACCACCGCGAAAAAAAACAGACCCGCGCAGAAGTTCAGCGCGGTTCAGGTGCAGCCTCCCCCCCGGGCAGAAACGAAACACAAGACGAGGACGGCTGCAACCACGTGAGGCATAGATTCTGCTGTTTGTGATGATGCTGCTGTGAGTGATGATGCTGCTGTTAGTGATAATGCTGCCGCTGTTAGAGATGATGCCTTTGTTGGTGGTGTGTTGTTTATCCCCCCACAATATGCACCTTGAAGAAAGGCCCGTAATTACCGTGTGCCTGTTGGACGAGAGGCACAAAGCACGTTGGTTGGTGTCCGTGGTGTGTTTTTTGTTTTTTTTCTCCCGTGTCTCCTCTCCTCCCCGCCGTTCCCCCGTTCCTCCCCCCCCCCGACCCTCTAAACCGTGCCCCGACATGCCTGTGTTTTGATTCGATCGCGTCCTTCTCTCGACGGGTGCCGCGTTCTCGAAAGCGACGAACTTTGACGTGAGAGAGCCCATGCATTTTCCCCTGGAAGCGTCATCTATCTGCATCGTGTGGCTATCTACGAACCAGAGCCGGGCCGAAGCAGAGGAGTGAAGACGCCATGATGCACCTTACCTTATCGATAGTAGTTTTTGTCAACCATCAACCATCTTGTGTTTTGAGTCTTCTGTGAACCACGTAGCCTCTGTTCGTTCGAGTGGAGTCGACTGGAAATAGCGTTCGTGCGCAGTGGTCTTCGTCGTTTAGTGTCGACGTACGTACGTAAGTAATGTAGGTGTGCGATTTATTACGAAGGTGTTACGAGTCAAGTCGTTGTTGTTCTCGATGGCAAGACCCGGCAGGTGCGTATTATTGATGGCCTGCGCCACTTTTCCGCGTGCACACCTAGATCAGCAGCGGGCCAGATCTCTCGTGCGGAACATATTTTGCGCGTGTGGGTGTGGAGGCTCTGGTCTTTTTGTTGTTGTTGTTGTCTTTTTCGCTTGTTGGCGTTGGTGGTGGGGGGCACCTGTGTCTCTGTTTTTGGTTTGATCAAGCCATGCCAACCCCCCTTCCCCAAGCCTTCGCGCGCAGACGCGGAAACTGCTGTTCTTGCGATGGCGTGTGTATGTCGCGCTGCCGTGATTGCGTGCCGACAAGTGTTTGCGTTCCACGTCTACACAGATAGTACACCAGAGCAGGGAGGGCCATCGCCATCAACAAACGTTGGTCGATTTAGAAAGGTGGTACTATATGTAGCAAAGGGTATTTTGTTGGGGGAATGTGACGAGCTATTTTTTTTTCGCTGTCTCGATAACGGGTTGAGCTACGGTGGCCCCACGGGTCCCGGTCGTTGGCGGCCTGCCCTTCCCTCGGCGATTCGATCTTGTTATTTTAGGCCTGTGATTTGACGCCAGCAACATATAATCATCCTTGATGAGCTGAAAATCGCCATCAGCATCTGTAACTATCTGGAGAACGCGAGTTTCAAGGCGCTGATGGAGCAGAACCAAGCCATTTAACGCGATTGATTGTGCAGATCAGATGCTGACGCCCATTCTTGATCCCCATCGCCATCACACCTGATCTCCACAAAATCGTGTTTCGGAAGCAGTGGATGATCTCGGTCTCGCAAAAAAAGGGCCTAATAATAATCGATCCGCGGGCGGCGATTCCACGAATCATCAATGAAGAATTTTAGAACGACTACACGTAGAATACCGCTGCGTATTTCTTTCGTAATTTGAACCTGGTATTGGGGTGCCAACATCGTAAAGTCGCGCAGATGCTTGCGCATAGCCGCGTTGAGGCGGTTGTTGTTGTCGAACCTCTTGTTTATGCTCAACGTTACCACGGCCTGAATGCGGAGGGTGTTGTTCTCCGATCGGAATGCCCATCTAAGTAAGTACAGGTTGCCAGCGGCAGAGTTCACGAGATTGTCCGCGAACGTGCCCGCGACCGGGTCAAAAAAAGACTGGTCAGCCGGCCTTCCAACACGGCGGGCAGGTCCACCACTACCCGCCCCCCCCGACCCCGGCTGTCCAGAGGGCGTAGGATTACCCGAACCAGAGACAGGAAGGCGACGTTGAGACTCGTCCATGGACGGAGGTGGTCTCTGTGGAGTCCGCGATGATGCGGCGCCGCTGAGAGTGGGGCTGGGTGGCGGCGTCGGCCTCGCAGGAGAACGTTCGAAGCCTTGCCGTGTCTCCTCAACTCGTCGTCCAGTGGCTCATCAACGACGGCGAGTACGTGCCGAGTCATACCTGGATCTGCCCGACAAGCGCCGCTCCGATGGACCCCGGCCGGGCGGAAGCACACTGGGTCGCGACCCTCTCCCCGTCCATGTTCACCAGAGAGCACGCCCACACGCTGTTCTTCTCCGGTGGACAGGGTGGACGCATTAGCTCCTCATTCCTGCTGTGGGATGCCATGGATAGGGAGTTCGAGGACCTCACCGTCGACCAGGCAAAAGTCTGTTCGCGTACAGGAGGCTCGAAGTCCAGGGTGCGATGGATGTTGGGCGGGAAGGGTCAGCACGGGCCTTGACTTTCTACCGCAAAAAAACCCCGGGTGTCCTGCGGTACGACGTTGACGCGTACCGGTTGATGAAAAAAAAAATTGCAGC